TTTAATATTATTTTATTCAAAAAATATTATTTTATTTAAAAATATTCTTTTTACCTATCATCGTTTTCTGACACTTAGACTTACGTCAAATAACTTTTCTTCTCATCAACAGAGTCTTATCAATTTCTAAATGAGGGTACGGAGTGTTACAATCTCCCCCACTTAAGACAAATTCGTTCTCGAATTTAAATGGAATGAGTTGGTAAGGCACACCTTAATCTTGAAAAAAAATGTGGATATTCCTTCCTCATTTCCTCTTCGGGTTCCTAGGTTGCCTCCTCCCCTAACCGATTTTGCCACAAAATTTTTACCGAGGTAACTTCCTTGGAGAGCAGTTGTTTTACTTGACGATCTAGTATTGCCACTAACTGCTCTTCAAAAGTTAGTCTTTCATCCAATTGTACCCATTCATAATGCATAACATGCGTCGGGTCCTTAATGTACTTCCTTAACATAAACACATGAAAGGTAAGATTTACTTGAGCTAGTTCCATCGGTGAAGCTAATCGATATGCTGTTGACCTAATATGTTCCAAAATCTTAAAAGGTCTAATATATCTCGAGCTCAATTTCCCCTTTTTTCTGAATCTTTTACTTCGTTTTTGTGGGGATACCTTTAGAAACACAAAATCCCCCACTTGGAACTCCAAAGTATGATGCCTATTATCTGCATAAGACTTTTGTCTACTTTGGGCTATCTTTAAATGTTCCCTTACTAAACCAACTACATCAGTTGCTTGTTGCACCAAATTGAGTCCTAATAATTTCCTTTCTCCTACTTCAAATCGTCTAGTGGGTGACCTATATTTCTGTCCATATAGTGCTTCAAAAGGAGCCATTCCAATACTAGCTTGATAGCTATTATTTATGCAAATTCTGCTAAAGACAATGTTGATTCCACGTGATCCCCAAATCTAATACTATTAATCTTAACATATCCTCAAGTATTTGTATCACCCGTTCTGACTGGCCATCTGTTTAAGGATGATATGCAGTACTGAAGTCTAAACAAGTGCCTAAGGCTCCATGTAAACTTCTCCAAAACTTATTAGTAAATTGTGGCCCTCAATCAGACACTATGCTCACGATAACTCCATGCAATCGTACAATACAATCGATATAAACCTTTGCATACTTAGCTGATCCATAGCTAGTTTTTACTAGAATAAAATGAGCAAATTTGGTCAATCAATCCACTATTACCCAAATGGAATCATATCCTCCACTAACACAGGGCAATCCAGTCACAAAATCCATAGCCACGTGTTCCTATTTTCATTCGAGAATCGGTAAGGGTTGCAGCAAACTTGGGGGTTTCCCATGTTCAGCCTTAACTTGCTGACAAATTAGGCATTTGGCTACATATTTAGCTACATCTTTCTTCATACCTAGCCACCAATAAACCATTTTTAAATCATGGTACATCTTGGTGGCTCTTGGATGTACAATATAGGCCGTAATGTGGGCTTCTTCTAAAATTTCTTCCCTCTAGTTATCTTGATTCGGCACATATGTTCAGAGTTCATACTTCAACAGCCCATCATCTCCATATTCATATTTCTGATCCCGCTCTTTCAATCCCAAAATTTTCATCACAAATTCATCTTGACCTTGAGCATTATGGATTAGATCTAAGATCATTGGCCGTACTCGAAAATGAGCAATAAGAGTATTAGGACCACCAATATCCATCTTGATCCCCATGTTGCCTAAACTTTGCCATTCACGCACTAGACTTCTCCGTTCAATTGACACACGAGCCAAACTCCTCATAGATTTTTGACTTAAGGCATCAGCTACAACGTTTACCTTATCGGGGTGATACTGAATAGTACAATCGTAATCTTTGAGCAATTCCATCCATTGGCGTTGCCTCAAATTGAGATCACGTTGCTGAAATAATAGTTCAAACTCTTGTGATCAGTATATATTTCAAAGCTTTCCCCATATAGATTATGGCGCCAAATCTTTAAGGCAAACACTATCACTGCCATCTCTAAATCATGGGTAGGATAATTCTGCTCATGTTTCTTAAGTTACCTCGAGGCGTAGGCTATAACTCTTCCATTTGCATCAATACACATCCCAATCTAACTCTTGATGCATCACAATATACAATATACCCTCCTGGACCAGTTGGTAAACTTAAAATTAGTGTTGACATTAGACACACCTTTAATCTTAAGAAACTATCTTCACATTCATCAGTCCATTCAAACTTAGCTCCCTTCCGCATCAACTTTGTCAATGGTGCTGCGATTGTCGAGAAATCTTGCACAAATCTACAATAATACCTGACCAATCCCTAAAAACTTCTAATCTTAGTAACTGTACTCGGTCTTAACCAAGTTTGAATTGATTCAACTTTTTGTAGATCCACACTAATCCCTTCCTTCGATATTACATGTCCGAGAAAACTAACACTCTCTAACCAAAAAGCATACTTAGAGAACTTGTCATACAATTCATGTTCCCGAAGTGTCTATAACACCATTCTTAAGTTCTGTGCATGCTCTTCAGGACATCGAGAATACACCAAGATATCATCAATAAATACCACCCCAAATAAGGTCGAAACACTCTATTCATTAAATCCATGAATGTGGCGGGAGCATTAGTTAAACCAAAAGACATCACCAAAAACTCAAAATGTCCATACCTCGTACGGAATGTAGTCTTTGGTACATTGTCTTCTCAAACTCTTAATTGATGATACCCTGAGCGTAGATCAATTCTTGAGAAACATCTCACTCCTTGCAGTTGATCAAATAAATCATCGATTCTAGGAAGTGGGTATTTGTTCTTAATAGTCACACTGTTCAACTTTCAATAATCCATAGACAACCTCAAACTCCCATCATTTTTCTTTACAAATAATACTAGAGCTCTCCAATAGGAAGTTTCATGGACGAATAAATCCCTTTTCTCCCAACTCTTACAATTGCTCTCACAATACTCGCATTTCTACCGGTGCCATTCGATAGGGAACTTCAAATATTGGTTCCTTGCTAAGAATCAAATTAATACAAAATTTAACTTCTCTTTCTAGGGGCAGCCCTGGCAATTCGTCTGGGAACACATCTTCGAATTCATTAATTATTGGCACTGTTTTAATATCGAAAAACCTTTCCCCCATCGACATTTCTTCTGTGGCTACTATGCACGTCAACTAATTCTGTTCGGTTTCCACTCTAGTGACCCCTGCCAATGTCTTTTTATTTCACGGACTCTTATGTCCATATATAATAAAAGGGACTTCTTCGAGAAACATAAATTCCACATATTTATAATGACAATCATTGTTGGCATAACAATCATACAACCAATCCATTCCTAATATAGCATCAAATTCCAATGTCATTAATAACACCAAATCCACAAAGGTCTCCCGATGATTGACTTGAACTATGCAAGACTTATAAACAAACTCTGCCATGTACATTTCTTTCAAAGGGGTGGTCACTATCAATGGTTCTTCCATTATTTCACAAGGTCTATTTAATCTTGACACAAAATTCAAGGAAACAAAAGAATGAGAAGCTCCAGGATCAAATAAAATCGATGCATCAAAACCACAAATTAAAAGAATACCTATCACCACGTCATTAAAGGTAGGCACATCTTGCGAGCCTAGGGCAAATACTCTCACTTTTCCTCCTTCGAAAGTACCCTGCAACACTAACTTAGTAGGTCAGGATCGGGAGGTGGAAGCTATCCCTTTACCTTTATCGAGCTGGCCTCTCCTAACTGGAGGTGAAACTGCAGATGCTACCACTAAAGCTGGTTGCACATACCCACAACCAGCTCTTTACGATCTTCCTTCAGAAGGGCAATCTCTTCACACGTGTCCCAGTTGACCACAATTATAGTACACATCAAATGATCGAGCACATGGTTCTATATGCACAATACTACAACGTGCGTAATAAGAATTCCTCTGGCCTATCTGTTGACTGTTAGGGCTAGTAATTTCATTATCAGTTTCTCGGTGATTACTTACTCCAAGAAAATTCCCACAATGATATGAACTACTAAACTAGGGATTCCTCCTCAACCCTTGAGGTCCAGTTGATGATTGTCCTCTATTTTGAACTATATCCCTTTGACCAGGTCGACTTACTCTCCCAGAAGTCATTTCTCAACTAGTGTTCCTGTGACTAGTTTGTCCTTCAGACTTAATTCTTCCAGTACTTTCACGAAGTGCCCTAGCCTCCATACTACGACCCTTAATTAGCCGAGTACAATCTACTGCATCGGAGTATGAATTAAA